TTTTCGCCAGTTTTTTTCAAAATCCTGGATTATTTTGGCAACATTCAACAAGAGTTAGCTGCAGAACCAGATTTGTCTAGAATTTTGAAAAAAAATGTGTTCTTTAAAGAAACTTACGCAGGCTGGGAAAATTGTAGGTATACTCCATTTGGATTTCTGCAGTGTCGAGTATTGTCTCGGTCTTGCTGACAGTTTTCAGATAGCGCTCTGAAGGAGCAGCATGTTTCGCAAAACATCTGCAAGACAGTTAGTCTAAGAGCCAGTGGGCGGATAGCTGCATGTATTTGACCTGACCTGAGTTTTTGTACATTGAGGCCCCTATACCTACTATACATGATGTGGGACGCACTAAGCCCAAAGCGGTGTCCCTAGGTACTGCTCAGGTGAGACACAAAAATCAATACTTTTGTCGATATTATTATCGAAAAATAATAATGGCCGACCATTAGCATGCGGTTAACATTAAGGCAGACAGTTTTGAAAATGCTCAAAAAATTTAAATTTTTAAAGTATTTAACCAGATCTGCCATTGGGATATAGAATATAGTCTATAATATTATAGTCTTAAAAGCTTATATTAATAACGGCAGACGTTTTTATTGAGTAGACTCCTCAGTAGATAACAAAATCTTTACTATTACTCGGTCAGATGTATATGTATTACGATCGCTGTTGACTTATAATTAATTTTATCACTATATGTATGGAAATTAATACTTTTTTTGTACTTTATATACTAAACTTTATAAGATTGATGGTAAATGAAGTAAATATATTACAAAATAATCTGAAATCTTGGGGTATAATGCAAGTAACAAAAAACAATTCGAATCTGTATTTCATTTTTTTTTTAATAAATTATGATTTCAAAACGGCAGCCGTGGTCAAATATGTTTAAAATTCGCCAAAAATCAATACCTGTCTCACATGCGCAGTACCTGAGTCCACCGCTTTGGGCATAGAGGGCCCCCACCTCATGCATAGTAGGTATAGGGGCCTCAATGTACAAAAACATACATGTAACCGCCCACTGGCTCTTAGACTAAGTGTCAATACCCGATGCAAGAGATAGTCAGAAGGAGTGTAAAATGTTTCTCAAGGTATATCCTCTTGGCTTTTGACGGACGCTCCCCAAAAGGTAATTATAAACTTCATCCGTATTGTTACTGGGGAAACTCAATAATTTATTCAAAGGTAAGGGACAATCACGATGTGTTTTTAAATGTTGAACGCAAAAATTATAATAAATAAAATATTTTGCTTGTTTTTGAATAATCCCTATTCAGTCCTATTTCGTAATAGATGCAATCGTATGAAGCAAATTATAAATAACATCACCTACTATGTCCTAAAATATTTAGAAAAATGATTAGATGCCACCGATATCCATCCTAATAAATTGCATTCCGTTCTTGTCAAAACAAGTAAAACTATTTCATTTAATATCTACGTGATATATTAACGCAAAGCGGTAGTTTCGAAGAGGAACGTCGTGGCCATTCCTAAAGCACTAATACCCCAATCTATCAACGAACCGAGCAGGATCAATAACAATCTCGAAACTCTCCGATACTTCTGTGAAAGTTGGAGTGTTTTATGTCCTTGTTTAAACCGCCGGAATTGCTGCAGCTTAACTTGACTTTGGTGATTTTAAGCAGAAGTACGTCTAAATTTTACGTATTCAAAACTAAATTATGTTCACCGGAAAATGTCATTTACTAATGAAGAGATATTCGAAAGTAGGAGTTTTAGATAACTATAACAGCCTCAACTGATTTTATTTGCGTAAAACGAAATTTATAGGCTCCGACAAAATTATATAATCACCGAAGGAAGATACTAGGCGTGTTTTTAAAGTAAGTACCGTTTTTAATTTATGCTGCCGCAGCACTGCGTACCCGTTTAGAGCATGCATGTCGTATAGCTGCATCCGTTGGGAAGGCAAGGCCTATTGTGAAGTGCGTGCTGTAATACATTTGCAGTGTTAAAGGCTTCAGATCAGCTGCCCTTCATCGCCAAATTAGTGATGTTTATGGTGAAAACATTATGTTTATGGAATGGTGCACAAATGGGTTAAGGCCTTTTAAGATGGCCCCGGTAACATTCACGATGGGGAACGAAGTAGGCCGACCTTCATTACCGATGACTTGATTCAAAAAGTTGACTGTAAAGTGAAAGAGAACAGACGATTCACGATTTCGTCCTTATCTGAAGAGTTTTCTGTTATCTCAAAAAGCATTTTTGTCTTGTGTCTGAACTTTTACATTATCGGAAATTGTGTTCACGATGGATGCCCAAAATGTTGACTAAGGAACACAAAACCAAACGATTAGCCAGTGCAATGAGTTTGCTCAAGCGATTCAGTAACGAGTAGCGACGAAACATAATAATAAGACCACTGGACCACTTGACGTTATAGACGTAAATAATAAAGACAATAGCAGTTCAAAATTTTTCACTTTATCAAATAAATACTTACTTATTTATGCCCAATAGAATAGATGTTTCGCCAACTGTGTTATAAAATCTTTTTCCTTACACAGTTCACAAAGAAACAGCTAAATTCGAATATATTATTAGAACGAGTTTTATGTTTCAAATTTCTTCATCGTTCTTATCTGGGAGATGATTTACGCTCACGGTGGAAATTTAATTTTACCTCTTGAGGAAAATAGCATCTCCTTTGTTTTGCCCACCTCTCGAAACATGTTTAGATTCTTTTTATGAAAGCTTAAACTTTTTTCAGGTAAAGGACAAAGTTTCCATATTCAAGTTAATTTAGTTCGAAACTGTATACCTATACTATGTATAGGGAGGGGCGCTTATCTCAAGATACTATCTTACCTCAGAAACTTTAGGGGATGGAGCCAAAAGTTATATACAAAAGTTAATTGGGGTATTACAAATCTTCAATTTATTTAAATGTTGTATATACAGGGGGTTTCAGTTTTAGTAGGCAAACATCAACTTTCTTATTTTAAATGGAATACCTGCTACATTACTTCATTTTTGAATTCTATACAAAATTCTAGACAGATTTCATAAGAAATTTCTATACATATTAATACAGTGTACGCGAAAAATTAGATTAAAACTGAAATTAAAAAAACTGCCAAAAAACTTTTTTTTTAATGGATACTATCTATTTTTATAATCTTGTCATATTTAGCTCTAAAAATTAAGACAATTTTATATAAGGTTGTATGTGCCTAATATTTTTACTTTTTGAAATATTTCCTTTTAAACATTTGTCTATCACAAAAAATATGCTAGTGCCATATAAGTTCAGTTAGTGTAAGGTGGCTATGACGGCGCTTAAGCAACACAAGTGCTAAAGTGCTGCCACTATGATTTATCATTTCATAGTTTTGGTTATCGGTTTGACTTAAGTGATTTCAGTTATTTGTGAGTTTTGTCAACGTTTTGAAAATAAGTGTCATACTGTGTTGTTCACGTCGGTTGACGGTGAGACGGACCCGTGTGGTCCGCGGCAGAATAGATGGGAGCTGTTTTTTGGTACCAGTTTATTATTATTTTTTCAAATTATTGCAAGCAACCAACAGCTAAAGTCATAAAATAGGTGTAGCAGATCTGAAAAAAGTCAAAATACTATGGTAAAAAACTACCGAAAACATCCGACCATCCATATTTTCCGCATGCTTGATCAAATATAAAATAGAATTTTTTTTAACATAATTTCTGGCTTAAGCTTTACTATGGCCAACACCGCTAATAATCGCTAACAAAATAGAAATAAAAAAATTGTACGAAACCTACTTATTCAATAATTTTATGAGTAATGGATTTAAGAATTAGCTATAATTAAATAATGTGTTAATAATTAAGATAATGTGTTGGAACTTGCAAAGAAGAAACGCATCACAAGGACTCCAATGCTGATCAGTTTCTTCCAACAGCATCGCAAACAAGAGTGGTTGAAACATCAATATGGTATATATATTCAGCTTGTCGGTCACGCCAAGATCACGATCAAAACATTAGAGTAAATAAGAATTTACATTCATTACAATTGAATTGTTAAAAAAGTCAAAAACGACTAAAATAAAAAAAATATATTCCCCATTTGGAGGGTTGTGTCTCAGTACTCCGCAGGGCGTAGCAACTTTTTAAAGCATTTTGATTCCTGTTATGCGTTCTACTACGTTTTCCAAACACCCGGTCTTTTTCTATTTGACTTCGACTTCGACTTCGCAACAAACGCGGTGAAAAATCAAGTTAAGAGTATGCGAAACAATTTCAAAACTATAATGACGAAGCAAAGACTATCTCAAGAAATAAAAAATGCATTTTGTTCAATAAAAAAATAAATCAGTTCGTATGACTTTTGTTAATCCGTAATCTTAGGTTTTTGTGTCCATATTGGAAGTTAGCATTCGCTTTCAAATACCGTCATCCATTTTATATAAATGTTCGTAATTGGTAGATGTATTTTTATTGCTTAAGCTTAACCTTCCAAAGTTAAGGTTTGTAACGATTAATGTTAATGTTTAACAAACACAATCAAAAATTATAACCAAAGCAAATATGTTTGTGAATTAAAATTATAATTAGAATGTTTGCTTCTTTTTTGTCGTTGTAAACAGTGCAAACCTATTTTCAAACTCGACAACAAATACACTCTTTACTTATTGTTCGAATTGATAACAAACGAAAATCGAAATCTAAATTATGGTCGGATCAGGCATGCGTAATGTGTTACTTTAACACGTCAGCTCTGCTAAACACTAGAGTCAGACACTTCGGGCATTCGCGGTACTTCAGTCATTGATTTGGACATCATCGGAAGTTTTTCGTAAAATTTAGCTGCGGATAGTATTTTGGCGTTTTTAATTTACTCCTAGTATGTCCAATTTACGACTAGGAAACGGGTTTGAGCAAAAATAACTGTTAGAAAAATTGGGAAGAAAAAGACATTTACTATCAGCATTAAAACCAAAGTTAAACGATAGAGGCAAAAATAAAAGAAAACTTGCGTGAACACACATATATAAATATATATAAATCGTTCGCTAGTTTCTAATTACATTACTTAATTTACTATCAGTTTTTCCCCTTCTGCATACAAATTCGATTACCCATGCGACAACACATATTGCGTATAATGCGGTCAAGATATTGCAAACCATAACATCGCTGCCGGTAAAGGACTTCACAGCACCTGAAAATAAATAATCGCGATGGTATTTTAAGTAACGTATTTAACCGCAGAAATGCTTACTCATAACAGGTCCGCATATCAAACTCACTGCACCGTTCACGGCCATATAGAGAGAGAAGGCGGTTGCAAAATTTTCTGGATATTCCTCTGATAAAACCAACGGCAAAGGAGTCTGAATGAAGCAACGTAGGAAGCCCAAAACGGCAAGGAGCGATATTTTCCACAGATAGGTGTCATTGCACACGAATGCTAAAAACCGATAGAATTAAGAAAGAAAAATATGAAGTTGCTGATCTTAAATTCTAAAACTCTATTTCTACAATATCGTCGAATGGCAACTGCAGTTACAGTGAGTACCTCTGCTTTAAAGCTGAGACAAATTTTAAATTTGATTTTTTAATGATGTTTGCCCCATCTCTGCAAGAAAAGTGGTGGTGGTGTTGGAACATTTTCTTAAATAATGTCCATATCCATAATTTGACGTCGTTATAGAGGACTCCTAGTCTATCTCGATAAATGAAATATATTTTTCTGAAAAAATTATAAATACAACCACATGACATTTTTGAATATCTAATTACATCCTCCACCACTTTCATTAAAGATATATAGCAAACAGCATTAAATAAAAAAAAATTAACTTAACGTTTTAACATTAAACTTTAACGTTTGAATTTTGTTGTATAAATCTAGTTTTAAAATTCAAGCTAATAATTCTGCCCCCTCGAAAATAATCTGCAGCATTTTCTCTTGGTCGATTTACATTCTTTTTATTTCTAAGATCGTTCGTTTCCCTAATACGTTACTGCGTTGCCTTTACTGGGACACCTGGTATATTGAGCATGGTCATAAAAGAAAGACTGAAAATGTTATCTTAGGAAGGGCCATAAAAATAACAATGCATCAAACTTAATTTTCCTTCTTCTACTTTTAAAATTGCAACATTGTCGCTTCAAAGGTTGTAAGTATGGATACTCAAGAAGACCTAGTATATTCACATATTAACCAGCGGCTTATACCTTAGTTAAATAAGTATTCCGCAAACTGATTTACTCGTCCTGTAAAATGCATTTTTCCCATCAAAGCCAATTAATTTTTCAAAATTAAATTAATTTCTGCGTTGCTATTCTATGGTCACGGGGTTACGTTTTGGCCAAGAAGCGAGTGATAATTAGTTTTGTGGAACTCTACAGGGTGAGTCAACAGTAAATAAACTTCATTATCTGATTGGTTTTTAATGTTATGAGAAAATGGTAAATACGGAAGTTGTAAAGATGGATAGTATTTAATGCGCAATTTAAAATTACTTTGAAGTATACAGGGTGGCTCAAAAAAAGCACCAAATAAAGTATAATTTTTTTAAACGGAACGCCTTATTTTTAAATTTTGTTTTGAATTCTTATTAAAATTCTTTAACTTTTTAATTAATAATAATTAATTATTAATTAATTTAGCTTTAGAAAAATCCACACTTAGATTACTTTAGCAGACACAACAATAAATTTTATAAATTTATTTACTCCGTTGTCAGGTAAAAATTTGACGCTTTCACACTAACTAATAAGTTACGGCTAAATAACGAAACAAAAATGGACAACAAGAATACCATTGCTAGTTCAATGAAAAAAAACTTCAAGCGTACCAAAAGGCGTAAAAATTTGTCAACTTACTAAACCTAAATATTGCACTTAACGCTGCTCCTCCTAAAACCAAATATCTGCTCTTAAATCTTACAATCCCAGATGCAACAGAAAGCAAAATTCGAGAAAGCAAGTCAGATGCAAAGTAGGTAAACATCATAAACGCTATTTCTCTGGAACTAAGTCCGATGTGACCCAAAATTAAAGGTATAATCGGAAAAAATGCGACATCCGCTGTGAAACAAAGGGCTAAACCGAGGCTCACGTTAACATATTGAAGGTCTTTTAATAAAGACATATCCATTGACGCGGCGAAAGTCTTCCTGGAAGCATTAGTAGATCTGGTATGTACACTTCGAATACATTTAGATTTTTACCAAAACGAGGTTGTTTCGTAGCTATCTTCAAAGTCGTGTATGGTTGTGACTGAGGCTACGCGATCACCAAGCCCTATAATTAAAGATCTTGGTTTTGGCGGAATGAAGTTGTTCTCGAGTACTTTGTGGTGAAGCGATCTGCGGCTGGCACCTAAGTGTTTATACTGCTCGTTCTGATGCATCAGCGGTTCGATCTGAGACTTTAGCACGTCTTCTCCTAATGACCTTGTCTTTCCCCGGGAATGAATATCTACGTCGAGCACTGAAACACAAGTTTGACCATCTTTCACATATATTTGTGCTATATATATGTATTGTTATATCATATTTGGTTGCAGGACATCTTTTCCTTTTTTAATAGTCTCTATACACCCATTTATAAAATTTGATTCTTACATCTACCAATAAGCAAAATTTTTTCGAATTTATAGAAATTTCTTCTAGTCGTCTACTTTTGTGGTAACAGCCTTAGTTATAGAATAAAATATATAGCTATTAAGGTTATTAACACTTTTTATTATCATAAATTTGATATTTTTTGGTGTTACGTAATTATAAACAATAAGTGTTACAAGTGTTATCCACATCATCACGCTTTTAAAGAAACGTAAGTTGCAACAAGTCTTAATAAAACGCAAACACTTACCAATTTCATCTTCTATGGCAACCTTTTTGCAGTGCCATTGCACTGGTTGAAGCACGACCGCACAAGGAAAACTGCACAAGCTTAAAACAGCTATGACTATCAAAGTTCCTCTAAAACCTAAGATGTTGATAAAGTAGGCGGCTAAAATTGGCATGAACATATTTCCGGCTACCATTATCGCTTGCGAGACACTCATCACCAATGCCATTTTTTTGTCAAAATAGGAATTCAATGCTGAAAAAGCTGCTGGCATCAGTAGGCCGAAACCGATACCTACAATTGAAGAACCCTTTGAAATTTCCATTACTACAAAAATATTTTGCTAGAAACTTGTGATAAAACACCAACAAAATATTGCCAATGAACGTTTTAAATTAATTAATTCATAAACGAATAAATAATAAATATTTTTTCATACGTAATATGTGCTTATGTTGACCGCTTATTGTTGACCGCTTAAATTAAATAAATACACCATATCACCATATAGCAACTGAATATATAAAGTATAGAAAGACAAGCATTTTTGAAACCTACCACAACAAACATTGAGGAGATAATATTAATATGCGCGCCAATCATATCAAAACTCGCTTTCTAAGTTTAAAAGTTTAAAAGTTCGCTTTAAAAGTTCTCTCCGGGAATTTTTGGTTAGTTATATATATATATATATATATATATATATATATATATATATATATATATATATATATATATATATATATATATATATATATATAGGTTTTATTTTGTTTGTGTCTTAGACCTTTCCTATATATATATTAGCGTGTTGATTCTTGGGTTTTAGGTCTGTGTATAAAAAAATTGCTCAAAAAGTTGCCACTTTATTGGGAGAGTATCATCGTACCATTAAAAATGTTTGAAAATACAGTGGATTGTTGTCGCATGCATATTATTATCTAAAAGGGTCTTTGCATGTCGATATAAATTCTATAAGGTATACACACACAAATATGACAAGAAAAGGTAAAAAAAAAACCTTAAAAACAAAGTAGACATTCTCCATCGGGACCGACGAGATACAAACTAAACGGAATAAAAATAATTCAAGGTACAATTTTATTTCCGTCCGTAAAACTTGTATTTTTAAAAACGATTTTTTATTCAATATGAGCGTTTACAGGCAGCGTTACGACAAGAAGCGACTTAAGAGACTGAATAAGCACATGCACAATACTTGTATTTATAGTATATAAAAGCTGAATAAGCTTATCCTTATCGAATGCGTTATTATTATATGGATCATCATAAATAGATATATAACTCCTCCCTCCTCAAGTCTGAGAAAATCGGGGTTGATTTTCGAGGGTTTTCAGTTCTATATCTACTTTTACATTTTGATGTCTTTTCTTATAGTAACAATATACCCAAATTATTATACCTATGATTGTAATAACAATTATTAGTATTAAAGTAATTGGAACACCTGATTTTACAAAGTCCAAACGTTTTAGTGGGTAGGTGGCTAGATTTTGGGCATTTACTATATCCTCCTTTATATTTTCGACATTAATTTCTCTTAATTGCAAAGGTTCGACATTTTGAACCAATTTCTCATCAATAGTAATTGATGGAAGTTTTAGTCTTAAATTAATTATGTCTATTTTTTGAGAATCGTAATTATTATCCTGAATGTTAACATTACAGTTTAAAGGGAAAATTAAAGAAACTTTCTTTAATTTCAATACTTTGTTGATTTGGGCATTGGAAATATGCTTTTTCCCGTGAAGAGAGGATTACTAAAATTGAATTGTCTTTTAATTGAGTAACTGAGGTTTCTAAGTATTTTACCTGTATCATTGGGCAATGGTTAGTTAAATTAATTGTTTATGGAACGCAGGGTTCATTTTTATTAAGTAAGTTTCGTGGGCATAACGATATTTCTTCAATTTTATAACAGTTTTCCTTTAGGTTGAAGAAATCATCCATGGATTTTAATAGATATGGGTTATTTATAACAGGTATATTATTATTTACAGGTATCGGGTAGATACCATATAGAGTAAATGGTTTATTTAATATTAAAGGTACTGCCATATAGAATATAATAAGTTCATTCTTAATTATGACGTCTGTATGTATCACCTCATAATATTTAATAATATTATCAAAGGGAATTCGTGTTTTCGGGTCAAGTTTAGCGATGACGTTCTTAAATTCTTTATACTTAAAAATGCTGTGATGCATTATGTTTATTTCTGCGAAGTTAATAGCAGTCTGTACGTTACTAGGGATTTCATTAATAACGCGGAAATTGTTCTCTAAATTATCGAGTAAGATGATAAAATATGTCGTCGTTAGCGTTTGTGTCATTTTTGCTAAATAGTTAATCTGAGTTAGTATTTTTTGTTGATTATTTTTTATATTATTTAATTGGGAGTCTATGTCTTTTGTTAGTCGTTTAACAATCGTTTGAGTCGAGAATATATCTTGATGAAGAATTTCTTGGTTTTCATGTAGTGTTTTAATATATTGATCATAACGTTTACCATCGTCTACGTCTAAAGTACCAAATAAATACTTTTGAGCTTTTCCCCAGAAATTAAAGAGTCCTCTTTTTATTCTTTTATGTACAGTAGTATAATGATTAATAAAATTTTGAATAGATTCTGCTTGGTCTATAAGATCTAAAGTTCGGGTTATCAATAAGTGGCCTATAGGTGTATTTAAATTGTTTAAAGTCGAATTAATACTTAAAAGCGTTGACTTTGTTGCTTTTATACTTTTTTTATCTTGTAAATTAGTTAGATTAACATGATAGTAGACGTGATGGAAGTTCATTATTACTATCTCGTTATTACTATCTCGTTATTACTATCTCCTTCGTAGACTGGTAATAGAGGGTTTTCAATTTCTTCTATTTTATATTGCGCACTCACAAGCATTGGCAGTAGGAGTACAGTAGCCTTCATTCTTATACCTGAAATTACAAACGTTTTTTAACATCTTTAGGGTGTCTTTGATTTTTAAATTCTATCAACTTATATTTGGGTTGTAGTTTTTGAGCTAGTTTTTGAGGTGTATTTACTAATTGATTTGTATCTTCGAGCATTTCAGGGTCATTTTCACGTTTTTCGTTTAATTTAGCTAAGACGTTCGATTTCTTGGCATTAAGTTTCATATTTATTTTTTCATTAAGTTCGTCGAAAGTACGTGCGAGGTCATATATATAATCGGTTTGTAGTTGATTCAAGTTTTTCTCGAAATTTAGTTGGTAATTAAGACATCCTTTTAAAATTTGGAAAGAAGTATATTCATGGGAAGAATGTATACTATTATTATAATTTAGAATTACAATATCCATTAGTTCTTGAATCGTTTTGGTACGGTGATCGTTTCTAAGGGCAACAAGACTTTCCTTAATAGTTGAATGTAATCTTTCGACTGGTGAATTCGAGTTTGGGTTATATGGTGTAGTAAAGTGTAATTCTATTTTATATGTTTTATACAAATCCTCTAGTAATTTACTTTTAAATGTCTGCGCGTTGTCAGTTGTGATTTTACTTGGCGTACCATGGTGTGAAAAGAATTTAATTAGGTTTTGGCATATTTCGAGAGATGTTTCGTTGATAGGGTATGCCGCTGCAAATTTAGAAAAGTTGTCCAATATCGTAAGATGTTTTTGTCCTGAAATTGAATGTATGTCCATATATATGTGTTCTAAAGGTTTAGATCCAATTGGCGTTGGTTTATAAATGGCCTTGTAAGGATATCTATCATATTTAGTTTTCTGGCATACTTCGCATAAATTGACAAAGTTAATTACGTCTCTTTCAAGACTTGGCCAATAATACTTTTGTTTAATATTTTTAATATTTTCCGTCATTCCTCGGTGAGATGTTTTTGTAGTATGATATCTGTTTACTATTTCTTTTTGTTCGTCCTGGTCGGTTACTTCTTCAAGCAAGGTGTTAGAGATAACTAATTTAAATGCATTATTTTTAAATGTTTCCTGGAAGGTTCTTATAATTACCGGTTCTAATTCTTTATTCAAAAAGTATAAGCAGTAAGTATCTGGTGGTAAATTGTCTCGTAATATTTGAATTCTTTCCATTATTGGGTTTTCATTTATGTACATCATTATTCTCTTCCTAGTTTCAAATAGTTTTTCTATTCGAACGTGGGGTTGTTTTTTGTGATTTCTGTGATTCAAAAAAGTGTTTAATTTTTTCATGCCAAATGTGTTGATCATCTTTTTCTTCATTTTTTTCGCATACGGCGGACATGTGTGTTAATGGTGGTTTTATTAGATCTACAGGGTGAATTTCCTTAGGAGGACGCGAAAGGGCATCTGCATTTGTATTCTGTTTACCTTTTTTATATTGAACAATGTAGTCGAATTCCTGTAATTTTAATTTCCACCTGTCTAATTTCGAGTTAGGTTCCTTAAGAGAGAAGAGCCATTGTAACGGCTTGTGATCCGTTATTATCGTAAATTTCCTACCAAACAGATATGGTCGAAAATACTTAGTAGCCCACACGATAGCGAGAAGTTCTTTTTCTGTCGTAGAATAATGGCATTCTGCAGAGTTGAGTGTTCGGCTGGTGTATGCTATTGGTAGATCCGATCCGATAGGTCCTTGCGAAAGTATTGCACCAATTGCATAGTCAGAAGCATCCGTTGTTAAGACAAAAGTTTTATTAAAATCCGGGGATTATAGTATAGGGTCATTGGTCAATATATTCTTACAAAGATTAAAAGCTGAGACGAATGCTTTATCGTGGGTTATTTTAACGTTTTTCTTTAGGCAATGTGTCAATGGTTTTGTAATTTTTGCGAAGTCTTTAATGAACTTCCTATAGTATACAACGAGGCCCAAAAATGATTTAATTTCTTTTGGAGTACTAGGGATTTAAAAATTCTAAATAGCCTCAATTTTCTTCGGGTTTGGTTTAACTCCATCCGGGGTTACTACGTGTCCTAAGAATTCTACTGTCTTCTTTAAAAATTCTGATTTATCCAATTGTATCTTCATATTCAAAGACTAATTTTAATGAGTTTAGATGTTCCTGCAGACTAGTTGAAAATATTATTATATCATCCATGTATACAAGACATATTTTACCCAATAGTCCACGCAATATATTATCTATCGCACGCTGGAATGTAGATGGTGCGTTCTTCAGTCCGAAGGGCATACGTGTGTATTCATAGTGTCCGTGTTCTACGTTAAACGCTGTTTTCGGAATACTTTCAGGACCCATTTCTATTTGATGGAATCCGCTAGCAAGATCTATTGTTGTAAAATACT